TGGAGTTTGTAAAACCAGGGCAGGGGCATATATAGAACTGTGCTAAGGAGATTGCTCTGGCATAAAAACAACAGCTCCCATTTATTGAGAGCTCACTGTGCACGAAGCACTGTGACAAATGCTTTATGAGCATCATCCAATTTAATCTTCAAAACAAGTCTATGAAGCAGGTGCTATCATTATCCTCATTTTACCTCAAGAAAAATGGAGATGTGGAGAGGTTACATAACAGTCAGGTTCTTGGACAAGCAACCTGTCCAGTCGCACAGTGCTTGATATAACACTGTGCTGTTGCCATCTTGAAGTTTTTTTCTTAACAAAGGGCCCTCATTTTTATTTTGCACCAACCATGGCGGATTGTGAAGCCAGTCCTGGTTGAATAATTTTGCCTGTGGCCCCACAAGTAACAGATGACAGATAAGGGATTACGAGCCCATGTCCTATGCTGTGCAGTACAATCTTATGATTCAAGAACAGAATGTGAAGGAGATGAAAATGAATTTGAAAGAGATTTTATCAGTATTGGAAAGGTTTAGAGAGTGGGTTTCATTTTCCAAATTGAAATAATTTTGTTTTGAGAGTTTTTTAGGCTTTCACAAGCTCTCTTGAGGTAACCAGAGGTTTCCTGTTGGGAAACTTGGTTACTTCATTGAGTGTGCAGTTAACTGGCTTTGCTGGCTGGGAAAGCTGAGCTTTACATCAGGTCTTTTGTGACATCTGGTGACAGCAACATGTTATTGCAAGGATTTATTTTGGTGTTTCAAGATTCATGCTGTTGGGTTTGGATTTTTTTAAGACTTTGGGGGACTTCAGTCAAGATGGAGGCGTTGACAGCTATTTCTCAAAAGAAACTTTGCAGGCTAGAAGGGACTGGCAAGAAGTATTCAAAGTGATTTAAAGCAAGGACCTACAATCTAGATCACTGGATATCATATAGAATGGAAGGGCAGATAAAGTGCTTCCTAGACAAGATAAAGCTAGGGGAGTTCATCATCACCAAGCCATTATAATATGAAATGTCAAAGGGACTTATTTAAGAAAAAGAAGATAAGAACTATGAACATTAAGATGACAACAAATTCACAACTATCAAGAACAGAATCTAAAAACAAACTAAGCAAATAATCAGAACAGGAATGGAATTGTAGAACAGGGATCATTTGGAGTGTTATCAGTGGGAAGGGGAAAGGGGAAGAATGGGGGAAAAGGCGCAGGGAATAAGAAACATAAATGGTAGGTACAAAATAGACAGGGGGAGGTTAAGAATAGTATGGGAAATGGACACGCTGAAGAACTTATATGCATGACCCATAGACATAAACTAAGTGGGGGAAATGCTGGAAGGAATGGGGGTACTGGGTGGAGAGGGACAAAGGGGGAAATATTGGGACAACTGTAATAGCATAATCAGTAAAATATATTTTAAAAATAAAATAAAAAGATTTTGCCTCAATTTTTACACTTCCCAGACTATTTTTCTTCTGTGCTCATTGAAAAAACAGGTTGAAAACTGCCTGACTGATTGTCCCAGTTTTTAATAAAAGCTTTTTATAGAAAAATATTCATATGAGAAGAGCAAATCATCTAATTAAAAAAATTTTAGAATTATGTTAATTTATGGAATGAAAATACTGATGCATAAAAGGTATGAATATATATATATATACACACATATATATATTTCCAAAGGATATTTGGCATATTGTTTTAATCCACTCTGATAGAATCCATCTGTGTAGACAAGAAGTTAAGAACTTTTAACTTAAGTTCTAAGTAACTGAATACAATATTTTCCATAGAAACCCACATTTTATCTGTAGCAATGATAGAGTTACATATGGTACATGACATGGTAGTCATAGGGAAAGTGTTTCAAATTGTAACTTTAAAATACATATTTAAGCCCTGGCCGGGTAGCCCAGTTGGTTAGAATGTCCTACACCAAAGTTGCAGGTTCCATCCCAGGTCAGGGCACATGCAAGAATTAACCAGTGAATGCACAAATAAATAAGTGGAACAAGAAATCTCTCTCACACACACATACACACACATAAATCAATAATTAAAAAAGAATTACTGCTACTAAAAATAAAATATCTACTTAAATTTTGGGATTTCTTTCCTGTCATTTAAGAGCTATTTTCACTCTATGAAGCACATAATATTTGAACTCAAGAAATGTTTGAATGACTGAATAACAAAGTGAATAAAAGGCTATCATTAAAGCTAAAAGAATCTGTCTATCCAGCTCCTGGTTTGATTTTAGAATGCCAATTAAACAGATACAAATGGAATTCCTATGACTGTTAAACATGGAAAGTCTCAATATAATATTTGCATCCTCCAAATGTTCTCTCACCTCAAGGAGAAAACACTAAGCATGGTACCATATATGATGATACTTTCTCAGTGTTCAAGCATGTGTCCTCAGAATTCCTGAAAAGTAAAACCTTAGAACCATAATTGTATCATAATCACAATCAAATGTGGGTTAAAATTTTCAGGATAATGCCTTCTGGACAGGTTGTTTTGGTCTTTTGTCCAACATTAATATCTATGTGCAAAGAACTGAGGTCGGCAGCGCATTAGAAACATGAAGAGCCATACAGGAGTGCTAAGCTCCAGTCCCTCTAGTGTCCCCTTAGGTAATTTTATGTCCAAATAAGTGACACCATGGGGACAGTAGTAAACTGTAGAGAGCATGCCAGCCTAAAAGGGGGCAGCTGCTTCTCTACTCCAGCACATAGTTGCTATGCGGTCACGCGGGCCCAGGATTGTTGAATTCTAGGGTAAGCCAGAAATCTGAATTTTGCGAAATATGTTACCATTTAAATTTTTTTCAAATTTTAAAAACATTTTAAGGGGCAAAGAGAATACAGTTGACCTTTGAACAACACAACTTTGAACTGTGGTGGGTCCACTTATAGAAGAATTTTTTTTCAACAAATACTGTAAATGTATTTTCTCCTTGTTATGATTTTCTTAACATTTTCTTTTCTCTAGCTTACTTTATTGTAAGAATACGGCATTTTATACATGTAACATGCAAAACACATATCAGTGAATTATTCATGTTATCTGTAAGGCTTCCAGTCAAGAGTAGGCTATTAGTAGTTAAGTTTTGGGGCAGAGTCAAAAGTTTATGTGGATTTTCGACTGCTCAGGAGCTGGCACCCTTAACAGTTGTGTTGTTCAGGACCAACTGTACATCTGCCAATTTTGCTAACTGACCGAGACTAACTTCATCATGTATAACTCTCAACTTTTTTCAATAGATAACCATAGGCACAAAGAACTTGAGGTGAGTGAGGATTAATTACTTCTCCATAATCTGGATATGAGGTTATAGTGGAAGCTAATCTTAAATCAAATTGTGCTTGAGGTGAGTGAGGATTAATTACTTCTCCATAATCTGGATATGAGGTTATAGTGGAAGCTAATCTTAAACCAAATTGTGATACACATAGGCATTTATCGAACAAAACAGTTCAAACAACCAGCTCTGTAAGCTTGATGAGACCCTCCAACTCTGCCCTTTAAGGTGCTCTCACTGTCTTTTTGCAAGAAACCTTCTCTTAAGGCAGATGTAACATCGTTCTTGAGGCTGAATTCTGTAGCATTTATAGAGGTCAAGAAAACTTAGGGACTGAGCTGCAGGCTTCATGAATTCCTCTACTCTGTTCATCAAGGGTGGTAAGAATCTCTAAAATGTTTTAGTCAATCCACATATCTTAAATACTGCTAAATTCATAAATGAAATCCCATTTCTAACATTTATCATACTTTTGAGCAAGACAAAAATAAAAACCCATCTCTGACATTAAGTATGCTAATCAGCAAACCATGAGGTGTGGATCAAGATAGCGATAACAGAAGACATTGTGATACTGCTTCTGGAGTGTGGTCTTTCTGATGTCGATCACCTATGGAGCATGGAACTCTCATTTTGGGCAACTAGAATCGAAGCTTAAATTAGTATGTGCATAATATCATACTATGTATGGCACAGTAGGTTTGAGTACATTACAGTGTCACACAGTAGTCCAGTTCTGGCCTGTAGAGCTCCAGTCTGCAGCCTTTCATATGTAGAAATTCAACCCTGCTTTTTAAGAGCTTCCAGTCTAGCGTCGTTTGGGAGCAGTCGTAAGAGTAAGAATAAAAGATAGAAGAACACAAATGTGATTTTGTCCGGGGAATACAATACTTCGCAGGGAGTGGAAGCAGCAATGCCTTCCCCACGATCCCCAGATCACAAAACTGGCTTCGAGACAGAATGCAGTCCTGTTGGAGGCCCTTGACTGCCGGGCGACTGCTGGACTCCCACCCTGCAAATAGCAGTGTACCTCAATCACGTTCAACGTTCCTTGCTGATAATTTTGAAACTGATGAAGTAGGAAAGGAAATCACTACTTTTTACTTAAGCGCTAAGCTCTGAGGAAGAATTTGGTTCCTAACGTGAAAGTCATAGGAATCATGGAAGAAAGCTCATGTTCAGCTTAGTTTATTTAAACATTTATTGAATGCTGGCATGGGGGATTCAAAAAATGAGGAAACTGAAGAGCACCTAACCCAAACTGGGTGGATTAGGGGAATTGTTCCAACACCTGAACTAAGTCATGAGGAATAAGTGGTGTATGCAAAGTGTGAAAGAAGGATGTATCGATGGATATAAATACACTTTGAAAACCAACGTTTTATTCAAATTATTCTGCGAGGGCAGGAAAGAGATGCTGCAATCAAGCTCCACGAAGGCAATGTCTGAGTATTTTTAAAACTCTCTGCTTGTACAGAACTGTTATATTAACCTCCCCAAACACCGATGACTACGCGAAAGGCGCCAGAATCTCTTAAAAGGTTTAAGTTGTGAACTTGCCACACTCAAGCTACGCCACTCCGTCTGCGCATGCTCAAGCATGGCTCCTGCCTCCTCGCGAGGTTGGATAGAACTCTGGGGGCGAAATGCGGACCACGTGGGGTCCTCTGACGTCATCTCCGGGCGCCGGACTGAAGTTGGGGTGGGCTTCCAGGGCTCCGCGGCGCTGCGGCTTGTGTGTGCTGGGTAGCGGAGGGCGGAAGTGCAGCTGGGCTTGGCTCCCACCAGCGCGCTGGTGCGGTCTGCGGCTGCGCGGGCTCTGGGGACTCTTGGCTCTCCGGTCTCTGCGGGACAGTGTGTCAAGCCCTGCGCCACCGCCCGTCCACAGCCGGGCGCCCCATCCTCTTCACCAGTGGGGCAGGCCGGAGGAGGAGCCGGTGTTTCTGGTAGGGTGTCTGTATGTGTGTGTCCCCAACAGAGTGAGGAAATGCACGAAGGAGGGAGGGTTGGGGAGGTGCCAGGCAGGTGTGGGCTAGAGGAGCGCTCCCCTGGGCGGTGGTGGCGGGTGAAGGAGGTGGGGCTGGGCAGACGTCGCCCCTGGATCCTGCAGGCTGGCCGGAGGGTGTAGCTTGTGCGGTCTCTCTTGGGGAATACGTCTGTTCCTCAACTAAGGTGGGAAGCCCAGGCTCTAGAGTTTAGTTCAGAACAAGCTTTTTTTTTTTTTTGTGGAACAGTTATTTAAATCAGTTATTTTACAGGCAGTTCATTCTCTCTGAATTCGGTGGGCATTTCTTCCAGCTTATCTTAACGGTATTCATTCAGTCTCATTTTAATAATATTTAGTGCTATTTTAAGGTACTTTAATTATATTTTGGATTATTTTTAAGTCATACCTGAACTTGAGGAATCTAGGGAAACTGGATTGGTTCCAGATTTTTCTGAAGAGTGGGGAGGCACCGCAGGTCTTCACCAAGAATCAGAATCCTGAGACTATCATATAGCACTGAACTTCGAGGCCTTTCAGAAGTCACTTGGAAAATCTCAGTTTTGGGGACTGGGGGTACTTTGTTCTGAACTGAATTATTTGTGATTTCTGTAGAGGGGGTTATTGGTTGAATTTTGAATTTGAAAGTAAAGATAGGCTGAGGGTAGTAGTTAAGGGAGGGATATTTTAGAATTTTGCACTAGATTTAAGCATGTGCTTTGATCCTCAAAGTTGTGCTAATTAAAATTGGGGAAAATGAGCAGAATAGTATTTATAACATGGATATAAGTTTTTAGAATAATGTATACACTTAAAGTGTAGGTTATCTTTATTAAGTTAACAAATACCGAGTCCTGTTATGTACCAGGGACTGAACAAAACATAAACAAAACGGAACAATGAACAAAACAATAAAAATCCCTGCCATCGTGAAGTTCACCCTGGGGGTAAGGGGGGAAGATGGTGTACAGGGGAATGCTAGTGGAGTGCACAGGAAATTGCAGTGGTAGTCTTAGGAGAGATGCTATTTGAGCAGAGACCTAAAAGTGGGAAAGAAGGGTGCAATATGGTTGTGGTGGAAAGAGCCATTAAAGCAACCACAAAGTCCCTGAGGTAGGAGTATACCAGTTAGTGTGGCTGGAGCTGAGTGCACAATAGGGGAAAGAAATAGCTAGAGTACCTTGGTGCTCATCCTGAGTTCATTCTGGAGCTTGGGATGAGGTCCAAACCGACAAGAACCAAACTACAAGGCATTTTCTCTTGTGGGGCAGCGTCATGACTCACACAAGTTCTGGCAGGTGTGGCAAGTCCTGAGCAAGCACTGAGTACTGAACATTTTTTTCTCTCATCAAAATGCGACGAATACAGGGTTTGACGAGTTCTGAAGTCCACGAGTACTGAGTATGACTGTAATCAAATCAGAAGGGGGCAAAGTCATATATGGCCTTGTAGGACTCTGTAAGAACTTGTTTTACTTTGAGAATAGACAGATCTGACTTGACTTTGAAAGGATCTTTCTGATTGTTAGGTTGTCTGTAGCAAGGGCAGAAATGAGACCCATTTGTAGGCTGTTGCATTTATCCAGGTTAAAGGTCAGAGTGATTTGGATCAGTGCTAATAGTGAAGGTTGTGAGAAATGGCAGATTTTTTTGACTTGTGTCTAACCTAGAGCCATCAGATGTGAAGAGAGGGTCAAGGATGACTCCAAAGTTTAGAGCCTGATCCACTAACGAACAGAATTATCACTTAGTGATTTGGGGAATACCACAGAGTAATAGGAAGGAGAACCATCTGAAGTCATTTGGTTTTGCAGCATACTAAATTTTTAAATGAAATGTCAGTACGGAGTTGTATATATGAACTGGAATTCAGAAGAGAAGTCCAAGCTGAAGAAATAAATGTGGAAATTGTTCATGGATTAGTGATATGTAAAGTCTTGAGAAAGTTCCAAAGGTGTGGGTCAAAGGCTGAGCCCTGGGGCCTTCAACATTTGGATGTAGATGAAATTTTTTTCAACTATGTATGCTCCAGGGTAGGGTGGAGCTGTTCATTAAAACCCTGTTGAGAACCACTGATCCGTAGTTATAAGATAAAAGGAAATAGAGGCCCAGGCCTTAGCTGAGAGAGTGAGGAAGGAGATGGGAAAAATTTGAGAAGATATGAAATGGTGATCTAGGACAATGGGAGAATAAATGGATTAAAAGAAAATGTAGGAATCCTGGCAGTATTCAGGGCCCACTTTTTTTTTAAAAAAGATTTTACTTACTTATTTTTAGAGAGAAGGGAAGAGGGGGAGAAAAAGAGGAACATTGATTGGTTGCCTCTTGCATGCACCCCAACTGGGGACTGGGCCACAGCCCAGGCATGTGCCCTGACCAAGAATCAAACTGGTGACCTTTCGTTTTGCAGGACATTGCTAAACCAACTGAGAACCACACTGGTCAGGGCAAGGGTCCACTTTTGAGGTTAGTATTCCTGAATTTAAAGGGAGATCAGCCAGCATAAATTATTTTTAGATGTTTACAGGTGTACTACTAGTAGGCATTTGATATTTTAAGTAATTTCTAGGTAGTTGGGGATTTTGTCAGCAAAACAGCATCAGGAAATAATTGGTTAGCCTTTATTGGTTTGTAGTATGAAAAGGACTATTAATTGTACATCATATTTTTGTCATATTCTTTATGCTATTTGTTGTTTGTTGGGCACCTGCTCTGTTCCATGTCCTGAATTAGATGTAGAGAATACAGCAATCAAGAAGTAGCTCCTCAAGAACCTTACTTCTAGTAGACTGAATCATGGGTTGGGATTTCTGTGCTTCCAGAACATTGCCTTCATGGATGCCTGATGACGACAGTGTGGTGTTTGTGTGAGATGGGAGAGTATTTTTCTAAAATTATGAAATATGGTGAATTTAAAGTGTGATTTTACTAATTTTGAAAAGCATTTAGTTGGAAAAGTTTAAGTAGCTAGTTAATTTGGATATATATATATATGTGTGTGTGTGTGTGTGTGTGTGTGTGTGTGTATGTGTGTATGTATATTTTCCAGTTCAACAGAAATTCCAGAGCCTGCTATGTACTAATTATGCTGATACTGTGGATGCAAGGGTATCCAGTTTCTGCTGTCAAGGAACTCTCACTCCAGTGTGGGGAGAGGCAAGAGACAGATAAGAAAAACATTTCAGCCCTGGCTGGCATAGCTCAGTGGATTGAGCGCGGGCTGGGAACCAAAGTGTCCCAGGTTCGATTCCCAGCCAGGGTACATTTCTGGGTTGCAGGCCATAACCCCCAGCAACCGCACATTGATGTTTCTCTCTCTCTCTCTCTCTCTCTCTCTCTCTCTCTCTCCCCCCTCCCTCCCTTCCCTCTCTAAAAAAATAATAAATAAATAAAATAAAAAAATAAAAAAAAGAAAGAAAAACATTTCTGTAATGCATGCTTATAACATGCTATTATAGAAGTAATTAGATTGGAAGTTGCTTAGTGGAAAGCTTCCCAAGGAGCTGATATTAAGCTGACTCTTAAAAGAGGATTAAGAATTTGACAAAAGAAGAGGGAAAGGATGTTCAAGCAGAGGGGCCATGGAAGCACAAAGAAACCCTATATTAAATGCATATACTATTTACTGAGTGGTTACCAGGTTGTAAACACCCAAGAGCTCTCTGAAATGAGAATTATCTTTAGTTTACAGATAGGAGGTTCAGATATGTGAGATTTATTGTCCAAGGACACACTGCTGGTAGGTGGAAGTCAGGGTTTAACCCATGTCGATCTGATTCAAACCCCCTTAACTACTTACCTTGCTGTGTTGCCTGCTGTCAGCATTGAAATCTTCCCTGTCCTGTTCTTTGTCCCTCAGCCAGTTTCACCAACTTCTAGTCATTCTTCTTCGGAAAGACCTCATATTTGTCTCTCATTCCACTGTAACCAGTTTAGGTCAGGCACTCATTATTACATGCCTTAGTTGCTGAAATTGCTTCCTGGCTCTGTTATATATGACTTGGGATCTCCTTTTGTGCACTGCTACCAGTTGTTTTTATTTTATTTTAAAACTTCACAAGCTCCCTAGGCTTATTGGATGAAGTTTAGAACACACAGTATTCCATTTGGTGTGCTTTATGATCTAGGCTCAGTTTACATTTACAGATTTGACATTAAAAAATTATTTCTCTCCCTGGCTGGTGTGGCCAGTGGATTGAGCATGGGCATGTGAAGCAGAGGGTCATTGGTTTGATTCCCAGTCAGGGCACATGCCTGGGTTGCGGGCCGGGTCCCTGGTAGGGGACAACATGAGAGGCAACCACGCATTGGTGTTTCTCTCCCTTTCTTTCTCCCTCCCCTCCCTTCTCTCTAAAAATAAATAAATAAAATCTAAAATAAAAGAAGAAAAAAATTATTTCTCTTATTGTTCAGCACTTAGTAGGTGTCTAGTACATCATTAAATACTTTTTAGATTTTTTTTCCAGAATAGCTTGGTGAATTTTACAGGAAAGGAAATTGAGGCTTAGTAAAGTGATTTGCCCAGGATCTCCATGTGATATGAAGACTTTCACAATGTCAGCTTTTTTATTATCTACTTCCCCAACCCAGAGCTTCCTGAAGGGTTCGCACACATACCACTTCTGCTCATTTCCTGCCTTTGTCAGTGTTAGTTTGCCCTGAGTGTAATATTTGTCATCTTCTTTTTGCCTGTCCGTATTCTACCTATTCTTTCATTGCCATATCTTTTAAAATTCTTCCCTGAACAATGTAGGATATATTAATATTTTACTTTTCCCCCTCCCTCTTTCCTTATGAAAGGTCTCTGAAAGTAACATTTCATTATAACCATGAGCATGTTAGGGTTGGAAGGCACGTTGACCACCATTATGGTATGATGGAGAGAATATGACATTGGAAATCAGAGATAAAAAATCTTTCCTGTAAGGTTGTAAGTGCTGTAGTAGAGGAAAGTAAAGGTGCGGTGAGGAAATGGGTTCTGCCAGAGTCATTGAAGAAAGGGCATTTGTGCTGGTCCTGGAGGCTGTCTCAGTTGGAAGGATGCAGTGGAGAGGGCTACTTTAGGGTAAGGAACGTCCGGCATGAGCAAAGCCATGGGAAGGACATGAACATGCATGGTGCATTTAATAGATTTAGATATATTACCTTCTGAGCAATGCCTAAACTTTCAAAAAAGTTACTGTTATCACCATTATTATCACTTGTATGCCTTCAGCATCTGCCACAGAACTGGGCATATCAAATGATCAAATATTTATAGAGTTTATGTTGAGTATTATTTATGCAATGCTCAATGCATAATTTTTAGTTATTTTCCTTTACTTTTATAATTCCTGCTTATATTATATAATGCTTTTGATTATTCTTAGTTTTTGACACCTTTATGAATTTTAAACATCTTTTGAGACATACTTTTGTTGGCTCTGTAAATTATGATGATAGATATGCTTTATAGTATTATATTATAGACATTGCTCTAAGCACTTTACATGTATTAATTCAATTTTTATATATTTTATGTGATAAGTGCCATTACTCCCATTTTACAGGTGAGAAAACTGAGAGAAGTTAAGTGACTTACTTGAGGTCACACAGTAAGTGGTGGAGCTAGGTTTTGAGTCCCAGTGATCTAGCTTCATATTCTGTGTTTTGAACCCCCACATCATTGTGCCTCTCAAGAGTTCGGTTTTGTTTATGGATGTATTTTAAAGAAGTTAAAACACTGGTGTGCTAGAAGGAGCACTGGACTCAGTTCACGTGACCAGAGTTCTTATCGTGGTTTGGCTTACTAGTGCTCTTGTTGGGCAGATTTTTCCATCTCTCTCAGCTTATTTACCTGTAGATGACATTGTATCCAGTTGACCTCAAACGTGCATTTAAGTATAGCCATACAAATTTAGAACTTTACTTGAGTTTTTCTTCCTTTGATTAATTAATTTTATGGCAGTCTTGTTGTACTTGGCGTTGGTCAGTGGAAGAGAAAAGCTCCTTGAATAATTCAGTGTTAATAGTTGATATTTGTCTAAACTAATATGATTATTTTAAATGTTTCTATAGGATACAATGATAAATCATGAATTATCTAGCCTATGAAAGATAGGAAGTTTATATACACACAAATATACGTGTGTGTAGAAGGCTGTTGAGTCTTAGTATTCAGGAACCTGCAGTATTTATTTCAGCATTTACTCATACAGTAAATACTGTGGTGTTATTTAGTTGTAGGATATTAGTACTAGAAGTCACTTGGATATTACAGAGGTCAAAAGCCATGTCCTTCTACCATATCCAGAATATTTCAGTCTGCAGATTTATTGCTGTATTTGTGGTAAAGGGAATATTCTGTGTTCACAGTAGAATTTTACTGTTTCATTGGGTCAGGGGATTGTGAGCTAGGTTGGCAGTGTTGGTGGGATTTGAACAGGTGAGAGAAAAGCATACTAGTCATTGGGTGAGGTAGGACAGAGAGCAAGGCTTTAAAGGGCCAGTTTTGCTGGAGGGTTTCAAAAGAAGTATAGTAAATAAGGTTGGAAACACTGGTGGAATCAAATCATGGTCATGATGAAAGTTAGAATGGAAATAGGTTTGCACAAAGGTTTTTTTTTTCCCCCCTAAGATAAGATGCATGTGTATGTTTTCCTGGAAGAGAATCTGAACTCTTTGGAGTAGCAGAGGTTATAATATGGGGCAGGGATAATTGTGGGGATGATTATTTTGTAGTTGGGCTTTAAAGACCATAAGGCATAAGTGAAGAGTTTGCTTTAGATATGGTTTGAGACAATGATCCATCTCCAGTTTCACTTTGGCTGTGGTTCATTAGTGTGCATAATTTTGAATTGGTTACATCTATGAGCCCTTCAAATAAATAATGGCTCTGCATTTAGGAGTTGTTGTACTGATTTGGCATTCATTTTTTAAAATATAATCTTTCTTTGTTTTGGAGCAGGTTTATTCGTCCTTGCAAGGATCTGATTAATGATCTTAATTTTATTTTCAGTTTGGCTTTGGTGGAAAAAAGAATTTAGCCTATATGTACTGCTTTAACCACTGGAAGAATGACAGATGACAAAGACGTGCTTCGAGATGTGTGGTTTGGACGAATTCCAACTTGCTTCACCCTGTATCAGGATGAGATAACTGAACGGGAGGCAGAGCCATATTATGTAAGTGTGTTGTTGATAGTTGAAAGTGTGTGGGGTATCTAATAAGTTTGTTCTTTTTGTAAATAGAGCTCTAAGAACCTGGAGGCTGTTATTCCTCCCACTTTTTAAATACAATTAGTACATGCTTATTGTGGAAAATTAGAGAACACAGATCATCAAAAAGAATGAAATTAAAATGACCTCTGTTCTTACCACCTAGAGGGAAAAACACTATTGACATGTTAAGACCTTCTTGGTCCTTCTTGACTTTCTTATCGTATTTCTATCTATCTATATATCTATCTAGATATAGATATATCAGTGAACTTGTGAACATACGTGTGTGTTTTCATATGTCAGTGAGCTAATATGTATTACATAAAATATATTATTTAATAACATAAATTGCTATATACAGACCTGTGGGTTTGAATTAGTGTATTATCAGTTCCAAAAAAGAATATCAAATATCTTCTCAATTTAGCTTCTTTTTTCCTTTTTCTGAGTGCATATACAATCTAAACTTAAGCATCTGTCAGAAATAATAGTATCATGCCTGTTTATTGAATAGCCCCTAATAGGCAAACATTCTTGGTTGTCATTGGAGTTTTTTTTGGTGTGAGTATGTCTCGGGTACACAAAACGTTGTTTACCAGGATTATCTGGAAAAGTGGGAAACTTCTTTGTACTGCTGGACTGTCTCTTGTTTCACCTCAGTAAAGCTTGCCTTTTGCTTTCTCCCTTGCCTCTTTGGGAGCAGCTGTGCTGCTGAACCTGCCTGAGCTGTGGGATATCAGACGCTGGAAATCTCCAGCTTTCTTTCCTGCCTTTAGCAGAACTTCTGTAGTTAAAAACAAAATGTGGCCATGGTTTATTTTAGAAGAGTTTTATTTGTTAGATGTATTTTCTTCTCTCCTTCTCTAATATGGGTTAGGACATCATTTATGTTTTGTTTCCACACTAGGGATACGCACACTTGCGTAGCTTTCTGATAGTATCTAAACAAAGGAATGTATGTGTCTAATTGGTCAAAGTGGCAAAAGCAGGAATAATATCATTTAAGTCTCTCTACTTTTGAATCAGAATATAGTGTTTGACACACTTCCTGCAGTTAAAAAATTCAAGTAAAAAATACAGTATTTTTTCTTCTTTATTTATAAATCTGTTTAAGTATGAAAAGACTTGTGAGAACTAGAATGTGAGTTGTTTTCTAGCTGTTTCTAGCTATGTCTGATTGAATTGAAATTGGCAAAAGGTAGGAGGAAGAGAATTGTTTTACCTAATAGGTAATTGTTTTTTTTTTTAATGAATTCTTCCTAATTTTTCACCTAATTTTTCAAAGAAACTAGTAGCGATTATGATTAAGTTTTTCAAGAACATGGGGTTACAGGCATTTAAGAAATATTAAATGAAAACTAAGGTTTAACATCATGTAGCATACTCCAGAGTTTGATCAGTGCACATATAGTATACTTAAGTGTAAGTTAATACATACAGGAAGAAAATATACAAAAACATTAGTCTTAGAGGTATAGGTGAGCATTTTAGTGTCTATAAGGTTTTAGTTCACATATGTCTTGGTTGTAAATTAAGCTTGAAAGTATATTTAATTGCTTGGTTTATAGCAATACTGTTTTAAAGATTCTGGATGAAATGAGGTAAAAATATCATGGCCCGAGAGCCGCTGTACCTCTTTCCCAGATGTTCTCAAAGCTCAGCCTTGTCACCGTGATGCAAAAAGTCTGTTCATGTTCAGGTGCAATAAGGACAAGTGAGGGGGAATGTAGTTTAGTTTTATAATGCTTATAGCTTATTTCTTAGAAACTAGATTTTAAAATGTCCACTCATAACAAAACTTGTAAGTTAAGTAATTATTATTCAAAGAGTCTTCTGGAATTCTGTTTCCATTGGAAAGGCATTTTTTTTATCTTCATGTGAGTATATGTTTATTGATTTTAGAGAGAGGGATGGAGGGAGAGAAAAAGGAAGGGAGGGAGGGAAAGAAAGAAGAAAGGCAGGGAGGGTGGGAAAGAGAAACAGATGACATTGTGAGGTCACTGTGTGAGAGAACATCAATCGGTTACCTCCTGTATGCACCCTGACTGGGGATTGAAACCTCAACCTTTTGGTGTTCTGGATGGTGCTCCAATCAACTGAGTCACCTGGCCAGGGCTGGAAAATCATATTAATGTTAATTTTCTGTTTATTTCTGCATTTTGATTTGTTGTCTCAGCATAAATCTTTCAGCCTACGTCCTCTCACACAGGTGGCAAACACAAGGCCCGGGGTCAAATCTGGCCCTCCACCTTGATTTTTTCTGGCCAGGCACCTTTCTGTGTGGCGGCAGCACCGAGCTCTTGCTTAACTGTTCAGTAGTTACGTTTCTACAGTCCTAAAATTACATTCGGCCCTTTGAAGGCAACTGCAAGGCTGATGTGGCCCCTGGTGAAAATGAGTTTGAGACCCTATCCTATCATTAAGTATTATGAACTGTTTGACAGGTAATATTAGGAAGGAAATTTGATACAAACTAGACAGCTTTTCAGTTTTTTTGTTTCTGTTGTATTCATTTAAACGGTTGCTTTTCATTTAGATTTCCTAATGTAAAAGCATATTTACTAACTTAGATTCATATTTTGTGACTTGTTACCAGAGGAAATCACACAGTCAGACACGTGACCATCAATCTGAGTGGACCCTAAACATTACCCAGCAGTCCTCTTATGTTTCCTTAGTCAGGTGTCTCTGTTCTCCTTTATAACTATTCTCTGAGCCTCGATACCATCTTTCACCCTTAACAGGTGACCTCACTCCCTATTTCACAAAGAAAATAGAAAGCCTATGATAGGACCTCCCTTAATTTTCTGCCACCAAGTCTGCAAATCCTGTTTGCACTCACATATGTTTACTTCTCTCCTGTTTCAGTGGCCAGTGTCCTCCCTCCTAGGCAAGGCCTGTCTTCCACCTGTTTTCTGGATCCCTTCTCTTGCCTTTTCAGGGAGCCGGTGGTTTTAATAGCCTCCACTGCCGCCATCTCTGTTTATTTTACTTTCAACTTCTATTTATTGGCTGCTTCTTTTCAGCATTTATATTATCTTAAATCCTTCCTATTATCTAAATCCATCCCAGTTGACCATTCTCTTTCAACCTCTTGCTTTCCCTTCACAGCCACACTTTTAAAAGGTAGTCTGTATTCATTGTCTCCTTCTCACCTCCCACCATTTACTTCACTGGGATTACATTTTGACTACTACTACAACAGAATGTTCTTGCCAGAGTCACTAATGATGTCTTTTTTGCCAAACCTGGAGTCTGTTTTTGAATTTTCATTTGCTTGAATGAATTATTGACAGCTTTCTCCCATTTTGTGGTACTGTTCTCTCTTGCTCAGTGTCTAATATTCTGGTTTTGTTTCTTCCTTTCTGGGTCGTGTGTGTGTGTGTGTGTGTGTGTGTGTGTCTTTGCCATGTTTTCCTCCTTGGCTTGTTCCTCATTATTGGCATTCTTCAGCGCTTTGCCTGTATTATTTTTTGTTTCACTTTTTCCTTCTAGACCTCTTACCCACTTTTATGCCTTGAGCATTTTTGTGTGACAACTCCCAAGATTTTTACTTCTGAGCTCTAGATCTATATGTCTGGTGAATATCCTCACTTAGATGTCTTGAAGGAATTCAGTGTGAGAGTGTTTGAAACTGGGCTCATCATCTTTACCCCCAGACAACCTGGTTATCTGCCATATTTCCTTCCTGTTTTGGCAAGTAGACCTATCATCTGGCCAATTAACTAGTCCTACTGGTAATTAATGTGCAACTCATCCTTTGAATCTTCCTTTTCCCATATCCCTGTCATTCAATCAGTGACTTGGTCCATCTGATTTTTTATCTGAAATATCTCTCAGAGTTACCTAATCTTTTACTCCCTCCCACTGCTACCAGCCTACTTCATACCACCATTTAAAAATTGATGGATGGCATAAGTGCTAACTGATTTTTCTGGTTTCAATCTGTCTCCTTCCCATTGTCTAGTCTGCAGTTGGTATAATCTTTTCAAAACACCCATCTGATCTTGTTACATGCCTGCTTAAAACCTTTAATGCCTTTTCATCATCTTTAGGGTCCTTAATGTAGCTTACAAGGTTCTTCATAATTTGGTCTTTCGCTTCTTTAGCACCATTCTGTCCCAACCCTCTACATTCCTGTCGTACTCAACAACTTACGGTTCCTCACATGTGCCGGCCTGCCTTTTTGTATTCAGTGCATGCCTTTTTGCAGTTTCTCTGTCTGGAGCAAGGGAGCAGCAGTCTCTCTCACCCCTGCTTATGCTCAGACACCCACGCCATCCATGTGTGGTTTACTCTTGTTTGCTTTTTCAACTGTTGCCTCAAAATAGACTTCCTATCAAGGCCTTTCCTGAGGCCCTAGATTAGGTTATATTCCTTTGCTGCTTGTTCTTAGAACATTCTTTACTTCCTCCTTGAATTTATCACATTTTATATTTAGTTTTACTGTCTTCCTCACTAGCCTGTAAGCTCCATGAGAGGAAGAACTTTCTGTTTTATGCAGTACTCTATCCTTATTGCTTGGCATGATGCCTCACACATTGAAATGGAACAGAATTATAATATATTTTAATTCTATTTTTGTTCTAAATATGTAAATCCCTAATTTTATAATGAAAATTGTTAAACAAAAGTAAGATTTAGCATGAACAAATATTACAGGCATGTTTTTCATAAACATAAATAACATACAACTAGATAAGACATGTATTCTTTTTATAAGTTATATAGAAGAAAATGAATCAATTTGTGGCATAGTCACTGAGTATTTATTTGACAAGTGCTAAAGGAAGAGTAAGACAACTCTAGATTCCATATAATTGACAGTATCTCCAGAGGGGGTTAATCCTTTTTATACTAAAAGGACTTAAAGAATCTTGAAGACTTTAATAGAAATGAAATAAGCCAGGCACAAAAGGACAAATATTTTTATGATCCAGTTATATGAGGTAACTGGAATAGTCAAAGTCAAAAGACAGAAAGTAGAAAAGTGATTACCAAGGGCTGGGGGAAGATAAAAATGGGGGAATTATTGTTTCTATGTACAGAATTTGAGATGATGGAAAGTTCTGGGGATGGATGGTGGTGATGGTTGCACAACAGTGTGAATGTATTTGCTGCCACTGAACTGTACACTTAAAAATGGTTAAAATGGTTAATTTTATGCTAGGTATACCAGGATTGAAAACAAGAACTTAAAGTAAACCAATGAGATACAACTGAGAAAAACGAGTGGTACAGTCTCGATGTATAAGGCAGGGTGACATCTTTTTGCTGTTATTTTCTTTTCATTTTTACCTGTTTCAATATTTATTTAACATTTACTAGATAAATTGTATCTAATATAGTCATTCTTAAATCTTTGAGTTATTTCATAGAGTTGCTATAGGTATTTATATCAGTTACAGACTACTCCCATAGGCCAGTTCGAAACAGAAGGTTTCAACTACAGAATGTTAAAGAGGGGCATTCTTTATTAACTATCATTTTTGGCCTTTTGTTGCACTTTCTTTGGCATCTCTGATTCATTCAGCAAATACTTACTGGGTGCTTTGGGAATGTAGCAGTGAGCAAAACACAAATATTTTTGTCTTAATGGAGCATTCATTCTAATGTTCCTCATTTCCTTATTATAAAGAAGTCTTTTGTTTCATGAAAATCATTTGTGAATTTTTCAGCAACTTTGATGAAACCTTAGGCATGTAGTACAGTGCTCTCTGAAATCAGGAGCTGATGTCCATACTCATTAGTCCCAGTGTGTCTTCCTTCTTATGACCTCCATAGGTTAACCTCATTCTCTGCAGATTATTATTATTTTTTTTTTTTTAAGATTTTATTTATTATTTTTAGAGAAGGAAGGGAGGGAGAAAGAGAGAGAGAGAGAAACATCAATGTGTGGTTGCTGGGGGCTGTGGCCTGCAACTCAGGCATGTGCCCTGACTGGGAATCGAACCTGTGACACTTTGGTTCGCAGCCTGCGCTCAAGCCACTGAGCTACGCCAGCCAGGCAGATTATTATTGTTTTTATTATTAAGGGCCCAACAGATACTTTAAGTTAAAGTTCTAGACTTATAGAACTTGCTCAACTGGTAGATTGATTATATGTGTTTCTTTTTTTAAAATGGCCAATTTACCATGTGCTTTAATTTCTTAGAGACTGTCCATGTTACATCAGTACTTGATGCTGTTGTTTTCTGACTCTAATGAATCTTTTCTTTGCCATTTATGTAATAGAATGTAATATCAGAAAGTTAAGCTGATATAAAACAGTGGTGATAATACTTCCTATATAACAACTAGTGCTTTTTCTTACACTAGTGTTATTTCCCTTTTTCTTTTCTTTCTAATCACATTCTAGATGTTTGTAAAAGGGACCTTCGTACTGTTGAATCCACAATACTGTCCAACAGCTTGTTCGTAGTATTAGTTCCGTCCATTCCATACATGAGCATGCCTCCTACACCCTCGTTCTCTGCAGCCCCTTGGATCACCGTCGTGTTCTCTTACCTGCCTGAGGCCTGTTGTCTTGAGCTTCAGTGATTAAATAACACTTCTTTTAACCAGGATACTTCTCTTTGTATATATTCCCTAAGCCAGTGGTTCTCCTTGATTTATTGGTCAAAGACATAACCTTGCATAAGCAGCATGACAAATGAGGCAGAGTTAGACTCACAAAAACAGCTGAAAAAGAGCATCAAAACAATTTTACCAGCAAAGAAACCAAACCAAAACAAAACAAAAAACCCAGAAGCTTAGAAATGGCTAGAGTAACTACTGCAAAGGAGGAAAAGACATAAATTCTCACCAGGTTTCTCCTTTTATCTCCTACCCAATTTTCCACAATGCTCTCTTACGTTTCCTTTCTAAGTACCTTTCCTTGGGGGAAAACAGTGACAGCCTTCACAGTAACCCAGTTGAGGCTTTACCCAGCCCAGCATTCCCTCCCGGACTTTTCTTTCCAAATTCCAAGGCCTGACCTTTGTAAGGACAGGACTAAGTGAGTTAGTTGACAGTGGCAGGATCACCGGGCTACCAGTATTATACCTTGAGCGTTTTCGTTACTGTACGTTAAAGATTTACATGTGTAGCTCAGAAGCCATTTTAAATATCTCTTTGATTTCTTCATTAATCTGTTCTGCTTTCCAGGCCTCCCCCACTTCTCCATTCCTTTTCCATCTCTTCATGTAATATTTCCTTAACAGATTTCCTGTCTATAATCTTCTTTTAGTCTTTTATGTACAACTGCCAGAACATTCCTCAAATGCTGTTTCTCAACATGCCATTCTTTTATTCCTGGTACCACAGGGGGCCCCTGTTGTTCATCAAATGAAAATTTCTATTTGACTTTTAAAGATCTTGTGCTGCCATGAGTATTTTTGTAAGTACTTATAAAAATACTCTTTTTTTTTTTAACCTCTATTTTAGCTTCATATGGGGGAGGAAAGATTTTGTCTTTATCTTGGTATTCTTTGTTGCAACTAATTTAATACGTGGTAAATTATCAAAACATGAGAGACCAGTTGAGAAGTCCTGATTAGTCAGTCAAGCTGTATATAAGGACTGAATTGATTATCTTCTGAGAACAGTTTTATTAACTCAGGTGAATCATATTTTTAAGTTACATTTAGTAGAAATAGTAAGTCCTAAATAGTATGACATCAGGTTACATTGTTCTTTACTTGGAGAAAATTACTGTGGAAAGCATGTACTTAGATTTGTATTGTTTATTCTAGGCATTTATCCTATAAGCTGGACTTAAAGTAATGATCTCATAAGAAATTTTAAAACATCTCAAACCTTTAGCAGCCTTTGATTTGCTATAAAAAGCAGTTGACTTTGTATGGAAAATTCAAAATAATGCAAAGAACATGGTTGTTTTTCCTTAAAATTCAAAAACCTATTTAGTGTATATATATTTTTACATAGTAAATATGGTTTTGCAAATTTTCATTTCAGTTGCTTTTGCCAAGAGTAAGTTATTTGACGTTGGTAACTGACAAAGTGAAAAAGCACTTTCAGAAGGTTATGAGACAAGAAGACATTAGTGAGATATGGTTTGAATATGAAGGCACACCACTGAAATGGTGAGTGAATTCTTCTGCATTACTAAGCATTGAGTATATGCTAACCTTAAGAAGGTATAGTGCCCTGCAATTTTTTAAAAGTTCTATAAAGAAACCACTGGTCTCGCTCATATAATACAGTAAATTTTAAACTGTTTTTTTTTTAATTTTTTATTTTTGTTTATCTTTTTTCCAATAAATATTAAGCTATTACTAGATTTTTTTTTATTGAAAATGCTGCTGCCTTCTATTTGGATGCATGGGAGACTGGACAGATTTGTGTATTTTCAATGTATTTTTATATAGCATAATAATATGTATGTGTATGGGGGTGGTTTGGAAAGTGTGTTTAAAACCACTTTATGAACAACCACTCTGTGGCACTCTTCAGTTTTGTTTCTGTCTCCAAACTCTTCACAGACTTTTGTGTACACAGGATCACCGTCAGTGGCGTCTTGCAAACTGATGGCAACGTTGAGTTGATCTCTGTGCCATACGCACGCCATATGCACGCACCTCTTACCTAGCCTTGGTTTAGTAGTAAAATACTTTGGTTTCCTTTTCGTGTGAAAATAATTTTGATATTACATTATTTTAAAGAAATGTATTGAAAATAAATCCTAAATCTGGGTTTATCCATGTATAGATGATGTATTTTGTACTTCCTCTATTGGAAGTTTTGTTCATTGTGCTTCCAAAAGTATTTAATGAAACTAGAGAAATTACAGAGAAAAGAACATGAAAAAAAGTTTCAAGACATGCTGCTGTGTGTTGAAATGTTGCCATATAGATACGTACTGAATCAAAATTTAAATGAAACATGAAGAATAGAAATAGGTTAAAAATGAACTTGCTCTCTGAATCTGGGAGTATTACAATGAGTTTTAAAAGACGCTTAAATAAGAGGAAGCTATTAGGTGTTTAATCAGTGCAGCTGAATCCAAGGATTACTTAGAAACAAGGAGGGAACTTTGGGAACTCATCTTGTGCTGATGAGTGAACAAGTTCTTCATAATGGTTCAGAAATATACAGGATGATGTTTTGTATTGAGTATACGGGTCACCTCTCTACCCTTTCGAGGTGTTCTAGAAAGGGATGACAAGGTTCTTTTTAATATTTAAATCAAAGCAATACTGAGCTTCATGGTTATATATTTGACTCAAGACTCTAGCCCTAGGCAAAATAATTGTTTCCCGTGTCTATTTCTCAGAAGAATTGGAAGTTTTGGAATGGGAAGGTGTCTTAAAAGAAGTATAAGAGGAGTAAGGATCAGAAGAGCAGTGGGAAAGGCGGGACAGGAAAGATTGTGGGCGAGTAACAGTCGGATATAGCTGTATTCTTGACAGATCTGTTATAGTTGGATATTGTAATTATTGATTTATGTGTATTAGTTATAGATTATTGTAAGAATCCATGTGACTGACACCATGCTTTGTTACTGGAAAGCAGGGTTTCTTAACAAGGGCCCTATTGGTATTTTGACCTGGATATTTTTGTTGTGGGAGGGGTACCCTGTGTATTGTAGGGTTTTCAGCAGCAGCCCTGGCCTCTATCCACTAGCGCTAGTAAACATTCCTTCTAGTAGTGATAGTAAGTGTTTTGTGTGGGGTGCAAAACCACCCCCAATTGAGAAAATCTGGAAAAGACGGGAAACCTCAATTTAGCCTTTATAGTAAATGATTGTTAAGTTATCCAGCTGCTCTTTTAACCTGTCATGTGTGGAGGTTGTTTTTTGTATTTGATATGATTTGTATTGTACCTGTGACCCCTGTTTCTACACAGTAATATTTTTGACTTACATATATCATGTTCCTACTTGGTCAGTATGTATCCCTTTGAATGTCTTTCATTAAAGAGTGAAATTATTTTCCTTTTTAGAGAGCTTGTATGAAAGTAATTATGCTGGGATCTTCATTTTAGGGGTGTTGACTTTTTATGCATATCATTTGTATAGTTATGACTTATTAATAAGCTCATTGTATATAATGGCTTTGGATACAACTTTCTTTCAGTGTTGTTAGGTACCCCATATATTTAAGGAACGAATAACTTCAGAGGCATGAATGTAATACAGGACATCTGGGCTGTCTTGATCCCAACAATAGTAATTTTCTACTATGTTAAAAAGAAGTATCTCCTTGGAAATACACTATCTACTTGGTGTTTAACTAAGCAGTAGGTCTCATAGGATAGGATAATCATGTAGCAGCTACTGTTGAAGCTTTGTAGGACTTGGGCTCTTGAGACCATACAAGTATTTAAATGAGTTAAGGAGCATTTATTTGAGTAGGATGATAGCATCTTTCTTATGCTAGATTCTTTGGAGTTTCAAATAAATTCCAGTGAGAAAGGAAATCAAACACCAACTTAGACAATTCATTAAAAAAAAAAAAAAGAAGGAAGAGCATGCACTGATATTCCTTCTCCCTCTTTAATTCCTTCTCCTTTTTGTATTTATTGTTATAATTGTTTAAATATCTGCGTGAGATGCTTAACCTGGGGCTTTGTGCCTTGAGCGGTAGCATGTTAAGAGATGCTAAGTCAGTGTTTGCTCAAGGAGTGAATTAGTCTCTTTTACTGAGAAAACTGAGGCTAAAATAAATAAAACAACTTGTTCAAATAAATAAGTAGGACCATATTTTGAGAGTCTTAGTTCAGAACTCCTTCCACCACACTTGCTGATATTCTATTTGTGAGTTGTTGTTTTTCTCCAATTCTATATTTTCTTTCTAGTTGCTTATGTTTTCTGTTAGAACAGAAAAACGTTTAAGAGCATTGTCATACTTGTAACAAATATGTAATATATTGTTGATTTGTAGAGAGATTCCAAGGAGATTTTATTTGATTAGTGCTTTATCTTCTACAGTCTTTTGTCTGTTTAACTTTTTAAAATTATCTGGGAAATGGAAAGTACTGAACTAAGTCAAACGTAAGGATTTCTTTTTTTGGGGGGGGGTGATTTGAGTTGATTAGACAGCAGAGGGTGCTCTAACATTGCATTTTAAAGAGTAAAGTTTCTTGTTACCATAATTTATGTGTTCAAAGTTTGTTACTTTTATATTAGACTTATTTTAAGTGAACAGTTCTTGATTCTTCTAAAGAATACTTTGGTAGTATACCCTAATAATTGGTTTAGATCTTAAGCCTTGAGGTACAAAACTTTTCCTAAGTTTTCTAATTTTTTCTAAGCTTTTCTAGCTTCTTTTGCAAACTGTAAAGCAAGTATCTTTAATAAAATATTATGTGTGTAAATTGACTTATTTTCAGGACGTGTTGAAAGAACTTGAAACTACTTTTTGAATTTTTAAAAAAGAACCAAATAATTATGTTTATTTTAAATACACATAACAATGATGCAGAATTAATACTGTACTGTATGATTTCAAAAGTAAATTTTAACACAATAACTTCAGCATCTTCATCGTAAATACTGTGCAGTCTCTTCTCTTTTTGTTCTAACCGTTTTTCTAAGGTTAAAAATTTGTAGAATTTAAAAAATTATTCTGTAAACCAGATTTTTGAAATGTGGCTTACTTAGTGTTTTTTACATGTAGTAGTCCCTTGGTTATTGGTTGTTTTTGTACTTTTTTGTACATAAGAATAGGTTTGGAAAGATGTGAAACTGCCCTGTCTGGTGTGGCTCAGTGGGTTGGGCATTGTCCCACAAACTGAAAGGTCTCTGGTTCGGCTCCCAGTCAGGGTACATGCCTGGGTTGTGGACCTGGTCCCCAGTTGGGGGTGTGCAAGAAGCAACTGATCGAGTTAGTCTCTCACATCGGTGTTTCTGTCCCTCTCTCTCTCCCTCCCTCCTCTCCTCTCTAAAAATAAATAAAATCTTTTTTTAAAAAGAGAAAGGTATAACACAGTATTAGTCTACAGTTGTTTGTACCATAGGTGGGGTAAGGAGAAACTAATTATAATTAACTTATTTTGGTTTACATTTCAGTTAAACCTGTAGCAAACTTATGAATAAGATGCACTTCAGTGAAATGGAATGGGACAATAGTCTTCTAGTATATGGGGAAGATTCTTTTCAATGCTGACCTTAGCAAACTGGTTTGCTCTCTGACTTCAGGTGAGAGAGCAAAAGTAAATTTTAACACAATAACTTCAGCATCTTCATCGTAAATACTGTGCAGTCTCTTCTCTTTTTGTTCTAACTGTTTTTCTAACCGTAGAATGGCCACCCTGGGGCTGACCTCAGACCATATCCACTATTACTATGCTGTGTGCCAGTTGTATATGTGTGCAGGGTCTGACACAAATAATGCCCCTTTTTACTACAAATCTTAAGCATGTAACTCAGTAACATAATACCACACTCAAGTATGCCATATGGCATTTTAGGTGAAATGTTCAAATTGCTGTCCATTTCATGGAAGACATTCACATACCCTGCCAACCACACTCAAGCAAGCCTTACTTCTGCTGGACCCCGTATTCTGGCACCAACGAAAGGGGTAAAGAGAAACAATATTATGCAAAGAAAAATGAAAATATTCATTTTGAGAACTGAATTTAGAAAAGACTAGAGCAATTTAAGGAAGAGAAAAGAAAATGAGTAAAATGTGAAAATAGACATGACACTAGTATTCTGGTGCAATCAATTTTTTAGGGCAATAAATCAAACCTTTAGCTAGTTGGATCCTCTTCTGGGGTGTATTCCCGGGTCATATCCTTACCACTTCCTTTGCTATTAAATTCAGCTTATGTTGGCAGGAGTAACAACCTAACAGCGAAATGGCTACATTATGATTTACTTTTAGTTATGGCTTATGTGGTTTCTATGTTGTGGGTTAGGACCCTCCTGAAAAAACTCTCTAGAATATCTGTTTAGAGGAGATGTGCAAATTAGGAATTTTGAAATCTTTGGTATAAATCAGATTTTACAGTATAAGAGACATTTAGTACCTTTAATTTTTGCCCGTTTTCTTTTAGAGATGTTCCTGCATATTAATAGGTTCTTTAGAAACAAGCGAACTTAGAACCAGTTAATTAAGATAGTATTTTTCTTTGGAGTCAGTGTCTTCGCATCAAAATCATTCTGACATAAACATCCACATTGAACCACACATGAGCCATGTAATTTGACAATAGAAACAAGTAAATAATTATTTTACTCCTAAGTTTTTATGTTTTAGAATGCTTCTTTAATAATACTCTATATGTATTTAAATAATAAGTTTTAGAAACCATAATATTTAAATTTCTACCCTAATCCTTAGTATCTATTTGTCATTATTTTGAATAATTCAGAGCAGTAGGAATAAAGGAATAATGTATAACAACTTTACTAGAAATTTTAATAAGCATTTAAATACAACAGATTTATATTTTCATTTCTTATTTTTTTGGTTTTGATTATATATACCTGAAACGGGCAACATCCTTTGAATGCAACTAATTGCTCACTAGTTGTTGTACATTCAGTTAGACCTCTCCGTTGAATGACTAAGTGGGTAAAAATGCCATATGTCTTTAGAAATATATTATTTATTCATTAGTTCTTGAGTTCTATAAAGTTTATCTAGTATATCATCATCTAAAGACTCATAGTCTTGAGATTTCACTGAAATGACTGGTTTTACCATTGTCATTAATGTATAAAGTGTGGCTATCTCTACATGAATCTTTATCTAATCGTGTGACATCTTTCTCTCAATTTTCTTCTCTTTCCTATTATAGGTTGGAAATACAACATTTTGAATTTTCTGCTGTATTAATGATAGCTAAAAGCAGACTGCAAAGATCGGGTCTGCATCCTTTTAAAAAATTTTTATGATGTGATATTTTAGGTGACACAGTAAGAAAATGGAAAAAGGATGCATTATTGTATCATCCTTCTGGGCATGTCATTCTTCCAAATTCTTACTATGCTAGTCTTTTTTAGCACAGTTGGGAATAATTGTTAGGTAGTGATGAAATAATTCCAAGAATGATGAAATAGCAAAATGTTTTGAGATAGAGGGAAAAAACGAGATCACCAAGATCCCATAATATATCTTAGATTTATAAAAGGGTCCAGTGGATCCATATGGAAATTACTAGATGGAATGTTTTTGTTGTTGTTTTTGTTGTTTTTTGAGTGAGTTTTCTCTGTGATTTTTGGAAGATCTTTTAAGGAAGAATGAAAGTTACAAAGCATCAAACCTAAAATAAATCATCTCAGAAAAAAAAAATTTGGAACCTAAAATTGGGTCCATTGGATCTTCATGTCATACTGAGGGTTCACATTTCTGATTTACACACTCACAGCTGTTTATTATCCACTTTGTTCAGATTCTGTGCACCTGTAGTCATTTTTTAATGTTGAAGGTAAAAAATATTAATGATTATGAGTTGTCTTACATTAACTTATTATTCTGATCCAAATACTTATTATTTATTCTAAAAATTTTATTTGATTTTATAGGACATTATCAATTGCTTTAAAATAGTATTTTATTTAACTTTAGAATGTGCATGCAGTTTCATCTGGAATGACAGAATGCACAACAGTGGACTGCTAGCCATTTTATGGGATCACTGGTGAATCTCTCCAATAGGTCTACTTCTTAATTTGCTAAAGGGATTCTATAACTATATGTGTGGGACTGTGTAGAATTTGGAAAGCAGCATGCTCTGTTAGCTTAAATATAGCCACATTCATTCTTAACTTAGTTGTGGATACCTAAGAAGAACAATCTTTAAAAAAAATGAAGACTAAGCAAGGTCTCTTTTGTAAAGGTACAAAGCATTATGTAGAGCTTATACAATTTTAAGAGTTCAGAGAGAGGAACCAGAATTGGATAGAATCTATAACTTGTCTCTAGTGCAATATTTTTGTTTTTTAATTATTTTTATTTTAGGTTTTGATTGAGGCCAGTTTTCTCTGGTATCAGAATATCCTGAAGGGGAACATCCTATTAATATTTAGGTAGTCCAAAATTTCCTTCAGTATTCATTTCTATTTATGAAAGATTTGCAGTAGATGCTGACTTTCAAATAGAAGTTTAAGGGTTATTAAGAAATACAACTCACGTGACTAAAGCTACCCGCTGTTTTATTTTACTAGCAGGGCATTCATCCTAAATACATTCTAAATAAATGTATAATCTCTAATGACTGATGACTTTTCCAGAACTATATTATGTAGACATAAGCAAACAAATAGTGTTAGCCAACATTTGAATCTTGGTGAGAGAACATATTGGGTCACTCATTTTGAGGGAAGTAAGATGTATTTTCAAATGTTTTAGCTCTTGAACCTAGGAGTAACTCACTGATGCATGAGAAACAACGGGACTGACTGCATACAACACCAAGCAGTCCTCTCTTTGCCTTTGTTAGGATTATAATTTAATTCTGATTTACTGATTAAGCTGCTTTAGATTCTTTAAAAGGGTGATTTAAAAATAAGGTTTGTCCGCTGAAATTTTCGAGGTTTGTATTATTTTTCTTATTGCTAAATAATTTTCTTCACTGAGCAAGGGTTATATTAGGAAACCTCTTATTTAAGAAGTTCCATTTATTTATTTACTTTAGAGAGAGGAAGGGAGAGAGAATGAGAAGCAGAGAAACACTGATGTGTGGTCACATGTCCAGTGTCATCAGCTGCCTCTCACATGCCCCCAGCTAGGGATCTGGCCCGCACGCCAGGTGTATGCCCTGACCAGGAATTGAATCAGCAACCTGGTTTGCGGGGTGACACCCAAGCCACTGAGCCATGCCAGTTAGGGCCCCCCAATTTTTTTTTAAATTTTGGAATTAGGTTCCAAATTCCAGAATCAATTATTCAGTAATTTTGGACAATTTTGACTTACTGTTATACGAAAAAAAGCAGAATATAGCGGTTTGGAAAGGAAAAGCCTAACCTATATTTAGATGTGTATGCATAAGTAGAAGATTGGAAATTTATATGCTATGATGTTAATATTATACTAATAACCACAAAGTAGGCAATTGCATGTTCTTTTAGCTGTTCTTTTCAATTCCTAAAATTTTCTAAAATTTTAAGTTGTTTTAAAAATTGAAAATACATTTAAATAAGCTTTAAGAAACTGCCCAGTGTGAATGCTAGGATGATAATTAGGTATTACAGTAGTATAACATAACAGTGCCCATGGCTGATAAAAGATGCCTTAGCACAGTCTCCTGATGTACATTGAGGCTTCCCTGGGGAATGAAATGATTAGAAGAAAAACCACCTGATGCCTGAATATTATACCATATCAGCCCAGGCAAGAAATGGTGTACAATGTCACCTTTCTGTAATATGTGGTTTAAGTCCCCTGATACTTGATGTTAAAACATGCTGGAAATTTATTTTTGAGTTGTAGTTATAACTTTGAGTATTTATTCTTTCTTAAAATATACTCTTTCATTTTTAGGCATTATCCAATTGGTTTGCTATTTGATCTTCTTGCATCAAGTTCAGCTCTTCCTTGGAACATCACAGTACATTTTAAGGTATAGTTTAAATAGCATTTCCCATTTGTCCCACTTGTGGTACTTAGTAAGTAGACTTAGAATAGAATTTTTTTTAAGTGAATCTGTTTATTACTTTTCTTATGGCACATTTTAATTTAAACACTAAAGTGAATCTGTTATTACTTTTCTTATGGCACATTTCAATTTAAACACTAAATTGCCATTAGTGTTTATCTATAGAATACCTTTCCATTTCTTCCTAACCCGTGGCAGAACCATTTAAACATTTAATGTATAATACCTTTTCTTGTTAGAGCCAAATGCCCTTTAAAATTTATAATATTTTGGGATATTTATATTCATTTGAAAAATAAATCTCAAATAGGGAGGAGAACAAAACCCTCATAGTAGATGTGGATGTGGGTTAAAACTGGGTAACTGTAAGTCCTTTTTGATTGAGTTGAGAGAAAGGTTAGGACACAGAAGTCTAAATAATTGATCTAATTCTGTTTTGAGAAATTTTAATTCTTCTAGTTTTAAAGAGACCAGACTAGATTTATTGTAACCTAATTTTATCTCATTTATAAAGTGCTGGTCCCTCCTTCCTCCAAACCACCCTGATTCTCCACTCCCTTCCACCCTTCCAGAATTCACAAACACCTCTGAAGGATTGAACCACCTCTATTATTTGATTAATAGGCACTGATTCTGAAATGGCAGTGGATAATGGGAAGGAGGCATGTTAAGAGTCTGAAAAGTCATTTAGATGCTTGATTTGCTTTCCATAGGGATAAATTCATAGTTACTTCCCAAAGGAGGCTCACTCATTCTTTTTAAGTTGTTTTCCTTTCCATCTTCTGAAATTGGATTTGTGGGTCATTAGAATTTATTTCTCTATTATTTGCATTAATGTGCTTTGCATAGTAACGTTACCAACGATTTTAGTTACCAAAGAACTGTAGAGTGAGGACGTAGTTCTGATATACATGAGTTTTGCTTTCCATGGTACCATGCAAAGTAAAATTCATGTCTGTGAGCCTAATAATTTAAGTTCAGAATGGCATGCAGATAAAACTACTGCAAGCATAATAAGAGTAGAGGTCCCATATTTCCTAACAAGCCTTTCCCACTGTTGAAAAATAATGCCAATAATTTGTCTGTATGTGTGGAATACACTCTAAAAGACTTTGAAATTTATGTTAAAATATATCATGGCTACTTATTTATTCATTCATTCAACAGATATTGAGAGTCTGCTATGTGCCATCCAGGCACTGTTCTAGTAGCTTGGGATACATGAGGGAGTGCCACAGAGACACTCAGACACTTTAGGGTACATACCTACCTCGCACTACATACTAAGCCCTCCATAATTATTGGTTGAATGAGTAGATGGGTTGCAATAATGATAGGAAAGTCTCGGAATTGTTAGGGTTGGTGTAATGTAATGGTTCTGAAAGGGCATTGTGGACCCATGGGAGTTTCCAAAATCTAGTCAAAACTATTTCCTTAATAATATTAAGATGTTCTTTGCCCTTTCCACTCCATTTACATTTATACCATTCTGTAAAAGTGCTGGTGGGTAAAACTGTTGGCACCTTAGCCCAGAGCAAGGCAGTGCACCAAACTGTAGTGTTCTCCACTGCCGCATGCCGACTCTGCTGGCTGAAGCAGTCCAGATTACTAATTATTATTAATCTTGACTTTTAAGTACATGTATTTTTAATCTCCTATTGGAAGTGCACATAAAACACTTGCTGTATGCCAAACATTGTGGTTTTCTAAGGAAAAACACTTGGGCCTTTCTTTGAGTTGCAAGCTGAACAAGCTACTTTGAATTAGTTCATGAAATACCAATTTTTATTTAAAAGGGTGACTGATAGACAAACTGTGGTTATTTAGACTTGGGTATTTATCAGACAGTTTCTTGAAAATAAACAAAGTGAGCCTCACATTGCCAGTAACATAACTGACAGTATTTGTTGCCAGTGACAAAATTTGAACTTTTTAAAATGAAAATTAGAATTTTGGAAAACATGTATCTGCTACCATGAGCTTTACAGTTTTATTTTTCTTGAAAGAATTTTTTGATGAGATTTGTGGCCTGAGATAGCTTCCTATGTTCTTGAGTACATTTCATAGTCTCTCCTATGCTTCTGATACCAGTACTTCTTGGTTCTAAATGTTGGTGGCTGTTTTATAGTATCTTTCAATAGTGTATGATATTAGTTATCTATTGCTGTGTGACAAATCACCACACATGTAGCAGTTTAAGACAATAAACATTATCTCACAGTTTCTATGGGTGAGACTTACCTAGATCTTCTGCTTCGGATCTCACAGGACTACAAGGTGTTGCCTGGGCTACATTCTTGCCTGGAGATTTGAGGATCTGTTTCCAAGCTCACTCAGTTTGCTGGCAGAATTCATTGTGAATGTAGGACTAGGGGCCAGCTCTTGTTGACTGTCAGTTAGAGGCTGCACTCAGCACCTAAAGGCTGCTTATAGTTGCTTGCCATGTAGACTTTCCCAACATTTGAGTTTAGTCCATTGGGTCAACAAAAAGAGCCCCTAGAGCTAGTCTGGTAGCAAAACTGGAGTTTTATATGTGACTTAATCACAGAATTGATATATGACCTTTACCACATTCTTCTGGTAAATTCAAGTCACAGGTCCTGCCCACAATCTAGGAGGTGAAGATCATGGATAGTCACATGTACTTAAAATTTTATGTAATATGGTTTGTTTAAGTCATTAATTTAATCATCAGATACTTATTGAGGTTAATGGCTGCATTCAGCTATGACAGGTAACTGGATTGGATTTTTTCCCAGCGATAAACAGCTATAAAACTGGACAAAATATATGAAGTAAAACTGTTTCAGGCATTGGACATTAGAGAGAAAGGGAATAAACAAGATGAGCCCCACATTTAGCCCAGTGGAACTTAAGGGCAGTTCCTGGCTATGTCATGGGGAGTTGGACTCAACCAGGGCATAGAAGTTTTTTGATCTGAGGATGTAGAGATGGGAGTTCTGGACTGCTGAAGCCAGTAGGACTTGCTGGACAAGGTATTGGAGAAGAGGGAACAGATGTATAAGTGTGGGTTTCCCAAGAGTACTTGGCTGAGGGCTGGGCTTCTCATGCATGAGTGGTATTCCTCAAGGACCAGTGCAGAGTACAAGTTAGGGGATTAAGAGTGGGACAAATCCCATGATGCCTGGAGATGTTGGATCCCAGGCCATCCACAGTAGAGAGAGACATGGTTAACATATTGGGCATTTATCTGAGACACCAGAAAGGACTTGCTGTAGGAATAAAGAGCAGTGTTGGCAAATTGTGACCTGGCCCCCTGGCTGTTTTTGTATGGCCCGTGACCTAAGGATAGTTTTATATTTTTTAATGGCTGAAAAAAAAATCAAAAGAATAATTTTTGTGACACATGAGAATTATATGGAATGTAAATTCTAGTTACCATAAATATAAGTTGTATTGAAGTTCAGCCATCCATGCTAAGTTGTTTGTATGTTGCTTTTTGGCTACAACTGCGGAGTTGAGCACTTGGTATAGATACTGTATAGCCCACGTGTCTAACACAGTTACTGTTTAGCCCTTTACCAAAAAAGTTGGCCAGCTCCTATTATAGAATAAAGATTGCTCAGGATCTGCCCTAATACAGTCAAAAGTTAAGCTTTTTAGGGTCATGGAGAGAGACCAGGCAGAAAAAAACTCAACAAGAAAGACAGTATTTATATGTCCAGCAAACAATCAACTATTACTAGAATGTAAATAAGCAGGAAAACTTAAACCATATTGGGGGAAGAAATGCTGCTAATATAAACTGACTCTTAAGATAACCCACATTTAGAATTTGCAAAAATGAATTAAAGCAACTATTAAAAACTCAGTGACTTAAAATATCATGAAATTATAGAACTGAAAAGAATGATATCTGAAATGGAAAATTCACTTGATGGACTTAACAGTGAACTGGAGGTGGCACAAGAAAGGCTCTGTGAACTTGAAGACAGTTCCATAGAAATTATCTAATGTGAAGAACTGAGAAAAGAAAATGGGGGGGACATAGTCCCAGTGATCTCTAGGATAATATCAAGCAGTCTACATACATACATGTAATTGGAGTCCTAGAAGGAGAAAAAAAGAGAGAATGAACTAAAAAAAATATTAAGAAACAGTGATTACACTCACATTTCTTGGTTTCAAAGCTGCAGTAAACAAAACTGTGTCGTACTGGCATAAGGGTAGACACATAGATTAAGAATATAGGTGTGAGTCCAGATATAAACACATACATTTATGGGCAGTTGATTATTTATTTATTTATTTATTTTATTATTATTTTTTTTTGGTGGGTGTCAAGACAATTTAGTGAAGGGAAGAACAGTTTTTTTAACAGATGGTGCTGGGTCAGTTGGATATCCACATGCAAAAGAATGAAATTGACACCTACAAAAAAAAATTAGTAGGAATCTAAGCACTGAAGTTAAAAGAAAATAGGAGTAAATTTTGTGATCTTTGATTAGGCAGTGATTTGTTAGGTATGACACTTAAAGCACAAACAACCAAACAAAAAATAGATAAATTGGACTTCATCAAAGTGGAAAACATTCATGCTGCAAAGGAAGTGAAAATACAACCCATTGAATAGGAGAAAATATTGGCAAACTCATATCTAATAAGGATCTAGTATCCAAGGTATACAAATAAACTCTGAATTCAATAATAAAAAGGTAAATAACCCAATTAAAAATGGGCTTTATATAGACATTTCTCCAAAGGAGGGATTTATAATTCACCAATGAAACTAGACAAGAAATTTTACTTTGTGAAAAAGTTGTTTTTAAGTAGAAATCCATCTTCTTTATACATTATGGGGCTATTCGTATCTGCTACTTATGTCAGTTTTAGTAAGTTGAATTTTATTGAATTGGTTCGTTTCTCAAACTTGCTGGCATAAAGTTGTTCATAGTATTTCCTATTATTCTTTAAATGATGGCAGGATCTGTAGCAATATCCCA